CTGCAGTGATTCCCTCAACAACCATGACAAAAACTAAGTTACTAGAGAGTTGGTGCTACCTGGAAAAGGCAGTTCTGGACCATATGTATTAATGACCAGAATCAGCCAGTTTGACTTTAGAATTCTACATCAGGATTATGGATTTGATCATGTTCATAATTTGTTAGAAATATACTAGAAGAAAAACTTCTAGTGTACTCTTAACAAATTATAAACTTGATCAAGTCAACAATCAAACAATGGACAAGACAGCTTTGTAAGAGACTGGGAGACATTTGTGGATTTTCTACAATACAATAACAGATGGTTAACAGAGGGATTTGAAGACTAGGGTGATGCTCGGGCTAATATGTTGACTGTTCTTTTTTCATTTTTTTAAATATATATTCTAATTAGATGTTGGGTCTATTTGATTATTACAGATTTCCTAATCTGAAATATTTGTTTATATATTTTTCTTGCTAAATAAGGATGAGAAAACTTATAATTATTTGTAAATCTGTTATGTAAGAGGAGGAGAAATTATCAGGGTTTTAAAATTTTCTTTTCAGCATCCAGCCAGGGTGGATTTGTTTGGTATGTTCTATGTTAGAGTTATTTGGATGTTTGGGTCACTTTTTCCTTTTTTCTACACAATTTTTTTTTTCTGTTTTGCATATTATTCCTGTTGATAATATATATATATATATATATATATATATATATATATATATATATATATATATATATATATATATATATATATATATATATATATATATATATATATATATATATATATATATATATATATATATATATATATATATATATATATATATATATATATATATATATATTATGCTAACCTAAAACAGCCTGGCAATTTGCCATTTATACATGAAAATACATATACATTTATTATAGATATATTTATTCCAATACTTATTTTACTGAATTCTAATTTTATTTTAGCTCCAGCTTCCTCCACCATTCCAAATTTTAGCATCTTGCTGCCACATCCATATTTCTTTACAAAAATACTGAATGTTTGATGACAATTACCGTGGAACTACACATTTACTGAAAAGCTGAGGATTGAGGGCAATCTTTTCATTGCATGTCTTTGATAAAAGACCCCACCTTTTGCGTATCAGCAAAGATACCAAATCCATAGCATCCATGTCGGTTACACAACCAGATTACATGTAGGCAGCACAATCTGTGCATGAATCTACCAATTAGCCTGTATCAACACATGGACAGGAAGCATTTTCTTTTTCCAATGTACATGGGCCTTTGAGAGCAATAAAGGAAGCAGGATAAAAACCTTTCTTTGCAATATATGCATTCTAAACCAGCTTTCACTCTCCCCAATTTCTAAATGAAGAAAGCATATAGAGTCTGCCAGCAAATTAAGGCTGGCTATTTTAGAGGATAGATGAGTTATCCCTTGCTTTTCTGAATATCTTACTCCGGATAAAGCCTTTTCCTTCCTTAAGCTGCAGACCTCAGATAAATTCCTTGTACTCACCAGTCCCCTCCCCTCCTTTTCAAAATACTTCCTTATGGATGTTCTAGCTGTAAGTAAAGGATTACAGCATTAGAAGCTCTCTGGCCAGAGAGGCCAAACATTTTTCTCCATTCACAACTGCCTGCACTGCTCCCTGTGAATTCAGGAGCAGCAAGGGCATCACCAGAACTTCCAGCATGTTTAAATATCAACTACATTGACAGCTTTACATTCTAAAGATAATGTCATTCCAATACATCCTTAGTATACCCCATTCCCCAGCACCTGAATGGGCTTGGCAGGTTCCTGTTTATGATAGGCCATAGCCAGCTGAACGGCCTCCTTGCTGCTGCCTGGCTCCTGGGCTTTCAGCCATGTCTGCATGTCTGCTGGAAGCACATTGAGAAATTGCTCCAGGATGACCATGTCCACAATCTGGTCCTTGCTGTATTCCTGAGGACAGAGCCACTGCAGAGCTGTGGTACTCAGCCTGGACAGAATCCCCTGCAGAGTTTCTCCAGGCAGGAGGGTGGATAGGCGGAATTGCTGTCGACCAGCTTCCCGATTAGCTTGGATTGAAGGCGAGTTCAGAGCGTGTTTCTCTTTACAAAGAGCAGGGTTTGGCATGTAAGTTCTGTCCATAGAGCTGTCAGTGAACTCATGAAAGCCAGCTGATGGTATAATTGGCTCTTTAATAATAGTTTCAACAGAAGTGACGGGTTCCTGTAAATGGGGTGAAGGTTGGCGGGTTGCCTTCAGACATGCTCTCAAACGCTGTATTGTCTGACTTGGATGGTTTGTACACCATTTCTTGGTACGAACGTCTGACAATGCATTACAACTTGCTGTATTCATTTTAGGGATTGATTCTGGGCCCATGGTGATTTTCTTCATGCCATGTGGCACTTGTTCAGCTTCGGTTGACATCCTGGTGGGAGGATGGAGATGTGGCAAAGACTTTATAACTTGGTTGTGGCTTGTGTGAGCCCTTCCTGTACAACAGTATTTGCGGTATTCAGCACACTTCCAAAATGTTTTGTTCCCGCTTGCACGCACTTTCTTATACAGATATCCCTTATAAAGGAGCTGATCCTTACCTTTGTCATCCTTGATATACTGCAAGGACATTTTCACAGTGGCACCGTGTATATGTGGAGGAGCAAGAGACAATGGCTTTGCAACAAGGTAAGAGATAAGAGACAGGAGAAACCAGACATGTAATGAAAGAAATCCCTTGCTATAACGACGTGCACAGACGGCTCTTCTGGAGAGAAAAATTCAAATACAAGGGAAGATTTGTTGAATAGTTACCGAAGAATGAAAGGCTTCCTTCTGGTCCGCTCAGGCTTTCCCGTTTTCCCCCTCAGAGGCGAACATGAATCATGCTGCTCCCATTTTTCCCCAGGTCCTAAGGTTGACAGCCGAACCAGATCACTAAATTGGCTCCTTGCAGAGCACAAAAGAAGCTGCCACGACCTTTCGACGCAGCCTTCCTCGTTCCGTGTCAGTTCTTGTTGTCCGTGACGTTACTTAAATGTCCTGAGTCTAGCGCTTTAAATTCTCTTTGGAAATGAAGAGCCTAGAACCGGTTAGCGATACTCCTACAGTTTTCACTCCGGTCCGAATCTACCGTAATTAGCTGAATAACCGGAGATACCCTATGTAGCCACGCCCCCTTCCAGTTTAAAGGAATAAAGGCGGAAGTCCCATCATATGGGTGTTGCCTACCCAGCCGTGAATACTGTAGATGAGCGACTGGAACTAATCCTGTGCGAAGGAAAATTTGCCAGGATATTTAAAGAGCCTCCTTGTGGGGATACTCTGTAATTGTACACGTTTACCTTTGTACAGATCCTTTGAACTTCAAGTTTTAATTTTTGGGAAGGAAGGATTATATTGGATTGTGGCATAAACCTGTTTAGGATCATATATTGCCCAAAAGACGATTTGCTTTTTTGCCCCGAGCGCCCCACAATGGCAAAGAGCCCAGCTGATCTAGGAAGCTCAACCTCTTGATATCCTGGTTAGAAATAATAGAGGTTGAGTTTGTGAGGAACAGACTCCCCTGCTTTACTACCCAGGGCCCTCTGGTGGTGGTTGTTGCGGGTGCATCTTCTCTGAGGTCATGTTTAATTAGGTAATGGAACTTTTAGATGTCATTGTCATAGATCCATTGGAATTGTGCAGCCAATACATTCAAATAAAATAAAAATAAATATCTAATCCAGTTTTCTGTTCAGAAATTAAGAAAAACAACGAAGCAAGAAATTTCTTTACTGAATGTTGATGGGATAATCTATGCTTCCCTCATTCATCATCAGTAACTATGAAGTTGCTGTATTTGTTATGTAGAATTTTAGGGTTTATTACTAAATAAAGGTGATACTATCATTTATCATTTTAACATAGTGTTTATGCCTCCTTTTGAAGTTTAGAAAATAATCTTTTTCTATGAGCCAAAGCATTTTCCTTTGATATGCAAAAATTAGCCTTTTCTGAATCGGTGAGAGCACTCAAACAACAAGACTGTATTGTTCACGTTGCCTTGTACAACTTCTTACCTGACCTGAAAAGTCATTTTGTTCTCCCAAAATCTGGAGATGAACAATAACTTCTTGCTGGATTCCTTGATCTCTTTGTGGGGATACTCTGTAATTGTACACGTTTACCTTTGAACAGATCCTTTGAACTTCAAGTTTTAATTTTTGGGAAGGAAGGATTATATTGGATTGTGGCATAAACCTGTTTAGGATCACATGTTGCCCAAAAGATGATTTGCTTTTTTGGTTTAGTGACTGTGGTTAGTAAACCATACTTTTGTACAAAATCAGTTAGTTTATTTTTTTATTAAATACATCTTGATTAAACCAGTAGGGCCTAATGCAATATGGAAATAACTTAATAGCACCTTTCCTTTGAATCTTTACAGGATCCTGGATTTTAGATTGGAGAGTGCCTGAGGTGCTCATTTTTAAAAATAACTTGAATTGTAGAGACGATTTACAAGAATAGCCAAGAAAATGAACAGAGAGAAATCAAATCTATCTAGAATACTCAAAGCTTTAATGAACTCATTATATGAAGACTTAGCTTTTTGAAGAAGTTTTAATAGAGGGAAAGAAAAGGTCTATCCTGAAAAGGTCTATTTATATGGTTGCCAAAAGTTATCAACTTTACAGTACAGTATAAGCTGAGAGTTTACAAGCCACAAGGCTTGGATTCAAAGAAGAAAATGTTAGAAGCAAACATGCCAGATTTTGGCTTAGCACCATGTATGAACCCAGCGAAAGCACTGTGTTATTGCAGTCACGGTGGCTTGTATTGTAAAGTTAGCAAAGGTCCTTCTTTTTAAAAACCTTATTTTAAGTCTGCATGTCAAAATGTGGTTATATGTGACATATGACTAATTATATTTTGTCATCTTTCTTTTTTATTCTTTCCTGTGTGTATTACAGGACCTACACATAGTGATTTAATAGTAGACAAACATTTTAGATCAGTAGGAAAGTAAAGGGACCCAAACATTAGTTTATTTGCAAATAACTCCCACTGTTTTGTTTCATTTTTATAGGGGAAGATCCATTTATTTGTTTCCAACTTTCCAACAAACCTTTAAGATTTGTCGGAGTGTTTACAGTGTGACTACTATTTTGAGACAACCCAGGAGCAAAATACAGGACACTTAGGTTTGTCTTACAGTGGTTTATATACAAGACTTCTATATACATACATACATGTGGTAGGCACATACCAGGCAATCAATCAATCAGTCATCAACTCTACAAGAACTACAATGCAGATAGAACAGAACGAGGAGATACACGAGGAGAGAGACCATCTCATGGCCTTCCTTATATAGACAACTTCTTAAAGCAGCAATAACCCTGCTTACTCATCCTCAGTCCATCATCCTGGTCCACAGCCTTACAGCCGCTGGTCAGCTTTAAATCATTACCCTGACACTACCTGTTTTGGATATTCCTACCCTGATGTTTAGGGTGAAGTCAGCTTCCAGGACATGGAGCTCTGCCACCAAAAGACGAGTAAGGATTGTATTGAGTGGTGATAATTAAAAGGCAGCTTTCTTCATATTCTCAGGATAATGAAAAAGACTTATGATAAGAAGACAAGACATAGCATTCTACATGTAACAACTGCGGCAAGATTGGCCTTTGCACAATGTTAGAAGAATGCAAAGATGCCCTCCGATTACTTAATAATTAAATTTTTTTTTGACTGCGCTGAAATGGATAAACTGACATTGGAATTGAAAGGAATGACAGACTTGGAGTATTATGTATCATGGGAGAAATGGTACAAATGGATTGAAAACAGAAAAATAAAACAGACTCAGACATAGTAGAATTAGATGAAGTAAAATGTATAGAGTATAAGAATTTCGTAGTGATATGTTGTGTAAATGGTCACAGTCTTGCAAAAATTTTTTTTTTCTTTTTGTAATTTTGTATATATGTGTTTTTTTTGTTTTTTTAATGTTTGAAAATAAAATATTAAAAAAAAAGAACTACAATGCAGATAGAACAGAACGAGGAGAGTGATACACGAGAGAGACGCCCTCTCATGGCCTCCCTTATATAGACAGCTTCTTAAAGTGGCAATAACCCTGCTGACTCATCCTCAGTCTTAAAGCAGCAATAATCCTGCTGATTCATCCTGGTCTACAGCCTTACAGTGGCTGGTCAGAAGAAATCAAAACAGCAGCCACCATCTCATTTTGACACCACAAAATTTAGAAATTCAGAACTTTAAACTTTTAGCATTTGTTTTACCCTCATGTAAATGAAGAAAAACCCCGGGAATGTAAAAAGCTAAATCCAATTTCCTAAGAACCTCAGCCTTCTTATCAAACATAACACAACTTTTAAATCTTCACTAGGGTTATGAGATGTTATACCTACACAATGTCTGAAATCCCCAATTCATGGGAAGCAGCCATAGAAAGCAGGAGTGATTACTCTGCATAGCTCTTTCTCATCCTTTCCCACAATTCACAGAAGTGAAATAACTTTTGCTAAACTGAAGTTTGTCAAGATAAAAATAGTTTCAGTAAATTTAGTTTTAACCCTTTGATCAACATTTGTTTCCAGAAACATATAGAACACAGCTGTATGGACTGAGAACTCTTGGGTGTGAAGTCTCACTATAGCTGTTTGGTAAGAAATCTCCTTGGATTTAGATCTATACATTTCTAGGACACCAGTATGGATGCGTTTGGCATGGCTTGACATAAAACTGGACATAACTCTCCAAAATCTTATGAAATTAAAACACTATACTTATAGATACACTGGAGCAGTGATGGGTTGCTACTGGTTCTCCCGGTTCTTGCGAACCGGTAGTGGAAATTTTGAGTAGTTTGGAGAACCGGTAAATACCACCTTTGCCGGGCCCCGCCCCCAATATATTCACTGCCTCCCGAGTCCCAGCTGATCGGCTAGAAGGAAAAAAACCAGGGCTAACTTGACAAAGAAGAGGAAAAAAAAAAAACAAGACACCTTAGCTTTAACTTGAGAAGCCAAGAAGCCTCCCAACTGATCAGCTAGAACCAATCCGCTCCTTATAAACCGCTCCGTGGTGATAGATTGGCAATTGAGGCCAAGCTGCCTGAAAACGGTTTCTGATGCTCTCGGTGGTGGCAGAGCGGCAAAAAACTGCTTAAACTCTTGCCGCAGCACTTCAAAGGGCCGCCCTACAGCTGATCAGCGGTAAAAGGCAGTGTGGTGGTAGACCAGTGCGCTCCAGAAACAAATAGGTAGACCGGTACGCAGTTAAAAGCCTGGTAGACCAGTACTTCTGCTAAATCCTAAAGAATTGTCACATGACCATCAAACCACGCCGATAAAATAAGCCACGCCCACAGAACTGGTAGTAAAAAAATCTAGAACCCACCCCTGCACTGGAGCATATTTCCCAAACTTATAAAAGCTGAGTTTTTTAAAATTTTATTTTATTTTAAGAAAAATGAAACTGTGAGGAATCACTCACTCCTATACTCCAAAATGAGGCATACGCAGAGCAGAACCTCATACAGAGAAGCAGCGGAAGTATTCCTTTTATGACGGGAGATGCATATGCCGCAGAGACGGCACCATTACCTGAGGAATGCTCAGAGCCCTCCAACAACAGCCTTTTAATACATATATTTCTCTCAACGTCCTAGAAATGAGTCAAAGGAGTAATTATATTAAGACACATGAACTTTCCCAAGTACCTATCTTCTGGGCCTCCTGAAAAAGGAGAAATCTAGATCCCATGTTATTCAGGGGATAAACCTGAAGTCCTCATCACAAAATATTTTGTTTTTCAGTGTTTATATAATCCCGAGAGTATGAAGAAAGCTGCCTTTTAATTATCACCACTCAATACAATTCTTATTCGTCTTTTGGTGGCAGAGCTCCATGTCCTGGAAGCTGACTTCACCCTAAACTTCCGGATAGAAATATCCAAAACAGGTAGGAATTGAGGCCGATGATGACTAAGCAGTTCAAAAATACAGTTTATCAGGAAGGAAGAATCAAGATTGGCACAAATGCTAGATTGCATCTTGAAATTGCAGCTTCTTTCCCTCCATTTTTGACTTGTAAACTGTTTTTCTGGCTCCTGGTTTGACTTAAAAATTTTTTGAATGGCAACATCCAGTTTCCAGAAGCAGGGAAGTGCAGCCCTGCTCTGCAAATATGACACATCTTTCTGGCTCTGTGGAGCACAACAGCGAAAGCTATTCCTATTAATGGCTGTTATTACAATTTAAAATCTGGGCCGGCTAGACAAGAGTGGAAAATTAATCAATATAATATGTATTTAATAGTGACATACAAATAGAAAAATAGTAGCGTATGAAATTGTCCGTGGAATACGGCCTTCCAAGAAACTCAGTTTCCACTTAAAAAGTACATTACAAAATTTCTTGTAACCTTTTTTTATGCAGCCATAGGCTTCAATGTTCATGAACAATGCCATGTGGCTGTCAGAAGTTCATACACACCATTTCAAGTAGCCGGAGCTAAGACTTAAATACTTGACACGATATTTTGCCCCTGGCAAAGTTGATCATCGTGGTTAGTAAAACATAATGGCATAAAATATGCATACAGTACCTCCATCGCAATGGTGGGTTGCTCCCGGATCGGACCGGTTCTATAGAACCGGTAGTAAAACCGGCGGGAGGCTCCGCCCACTGACTCTGACATAATCAGAAGCAATCTGCACATGCGCAGAAGCTTCTGCACATGTGCAGAAGCAAGGCGCATGTGCGAGCAAATCAAGCACGCACGCACGATCCCGTTGTGAACCGGTAGTAAAGGTAAGTAGAACCCAATCCTGCTCCACTGCCCTGTACATAAAACATTGCATCATTTATGCAGGCTGCAAAAGAGATTGTTTCCAGAAGCTACAGCAGATCCCTCCATATCTTCCACGATCGCTGCCTGACAACGCTATGTAAAGTCAGGACTGTACATAGCGTGTTTATGTCAGTTACCTGTTCTCCATGTCTCTGTAGCCCCTCCCTTTACACTCACAATCTACATGAAGGTTTGGTAGCCAATCATCTCCAAGCCTTACTCCCAAGTCAACTCTGTTTCCTTAATTGTTCCTGTCTCCTGGCAGCTCTGCACATGCACACACTGGGAACAGGCTCACGCTGTTCTTCTGCCTCGCTGATGTCAGACTCCGGAGACTCTGGAGGCAGCAAAGAACTACCAGATGGCCTTGGCCTCCTCTCTGCCTCCGACTCAGAGCCATTGTCCGAGCCTTCCCCAGACTCCAGGATTGGCCCACGTTCCTCCCCAACCTCCTCACTGTCCGAATCTGCCTTTGTGGCTGCTGGTGGGCCAAAACAACACCTATATCCTTCTGAGAGATGTTGCAGTGGCCTCCTGGCCAGGGTATTTATTTTTACAGAGTTCTGACAGGTAAGTCACCATACAGAGGCTCAAATCTACTGATCAGAGAAGCAGCTCACCTGTCAGATTATGTAAAACAAATATCCAGACATGGAGGTGGCTCTGCTACAGTTTGACAAGCAGATTGTCCCAAGATCTGTAGACCAGTACAGGTGCGGATAGAGGCTAAACTCACTGCTATACCCATTCGTCCTGCCCCCAGCTCTAGCATCATCCCACGTTAAATGGCATAATTAATATAGCCAATGTTTTTCCCACTGGCTGAGAAATCCCTCGGTTCTTGCAACTTAACTTGCCCTGCAGTAAACAATTAGGACAGCACCACTCACTGGCCTCATTTGTGACACAAGACAGACCAGCTGTGTAGACAGAATAAATTATGCAGGTGTACTTTTTCAACCACAGATGGAAAGAAAACACATCAAACTGACTGTGTGCCACCACTAGACATTCTGGAGCCAGGCATGGCAGAATGCCAAGATTGTCTTTTTATTCCAGAACTGAACCCAGAGGAGCTGAGTGAAAGATTGTAATTGGTGGGACCTTATTCTAAGAGGCTAGGGCCCATGTGTTTTTGCTGATTTTGCAACTGGCCTGCAGGAAATGTCAGGAATTCTCTCTACTGTTGCTTTTTCTCCTTCTGCTCAGTCCGCTATTCAATGATGACGGTAATTGCAAGGGCAGGAGGCTCCACCTTTTTCCCCATGTCACACGGCTGAGTCTGAACCGGGTTTGCCATTGGCTCTGCTGCAAGTGGAGAACTCGGAGGGGGCGGCTCCTGTGTTGGCGGGAGGGGCCCAGTGGCCCCCTCAGGATGGCTCTTACTCTTGTGCGCAGTGACATTGTCCTTCTTCTCAAACTTCTTGCCACAAAGGTCGCAGGAGAACTGGTAGAAGGAGTCGGCGTCATGCTTTTTCATGTGCCAGTTCAAGGACGCTTTTTGGCGGCAGGTGAAACCACAGATCTCACACCTGGGTGAAAAGGAAGGGAGGAGGGGTTCACCAAAGAGGAAAGGGGGCTGCCAGAAATAGGTGATAAATCCAGCCTTGGCTCTCCCCACCACCCTCCTGACAACAGGGAAAGTTGTCTCTGTACAACAACTGGCTCTGGCTGAATGACTTGGTAAAGCAGAGTAGAAAATCAATACAATGTAAGGTTACCTCAGGAGCAGCCACCAAGTAAAATATCTCTGCTCCCTATGTGGAAGCTAGTCGGTTGTCTTTTTTTAAAAAAAACTGTTAAGTTAATGGAGCCACCATAAATATATACCATATTTTTCAGAGTATAAGATACACTTTTTCCCCCCTAAAAGGGGGTGAAAATTTGGGTGCGTCTTATACACCGAATATAGCCCTGCCCACCCGCTGACCCCCACCCTTTGGCCTCTGCCTCCCAGCAGTTTACCTCCTTGCAGCAAACAGCGCATTTCAGCTTCAGCCCAGCCTAATTAGCGCAAGCAGTTGATTGTCGGTTGGATCCGCCTCCCGACCCTCAGCTGTTTCAGGCTGCAGGGATTGCCATTGCCTATTGCCGTGCCAGCCTCCGCTGTTTGCTGCAAGGAGGTAAATTGCTGGGAGGCAGATTTTTTTTTCTTGTGCTAATCAGGCTGTGCTGAAAGTGAAACTAAAGCAGGCTGTTTGCTGTTTGCTGCAACAAGGCAAATTGCTGGGAAGCAGAGGCAATTTCTTTTTCTTGTTTTCCTCACCAAAAAAGGTAGGTGCGTCTTATAGTCCGGAACATCTTATACTCCGAAAAATATGGTATATGTTGGGATGATCGTAAGTCAAGGACTATCTTGACTGTATCCTAGAAAGTGAGATTTGAGAAAACCATCTGCTTTATGATTTACTGGAAAGGCTTTTCAGTTGATGATTGTGAGGAGGAGGCTGGATTTGATGGGAGTGACCCTGATTGTGCTTAAGTCATTTCTGCAGTAGGGGAAAGCATTGTGGGGCATACTCACTGTAGGGGTTTTTCTCCGGTGTGGATCCGCCTGTGGATGATTAAATTACTGCTTGTTCGGAAGGAGCGGGCGCAGAACTCACATATGTAGTCCCTTTTATCTGAAAGTAAAGGGCACAATAAGTCACTAGCCAGCCTGATCCTAAAGGCACATCCTTCATAATAGATATGGGCAACCTATAAATCTTTTCTCCCCAATATTAGTCAGGACTGGTCCAAGGGGTTTTGATTTAGACAGACTACAAGGGCAATGAAAGCTGTAGTTCAAAATTTTAGCAGGCACCAGATGGATGAAAGACACATGGTTAGACTGCTCACCACTGTGCAGCTTCTCGTGTTCCTTGAGATGTTTCTTGAAGTTGAAGGATTTGCCACAGCTTGGATCAGAGCAGGCAAAAGTCTTTTGGTGAACATGCTGGTATTTCTTGTGGTACTGGAAGATGGGGAAAAAATAGCCCACAGAGAATATAAGGCTCTAAAATCGGTATGGGTCCTTAGCTTAGATCAGTAGTTCTCAACCTTTTCTTCACCATGGACTCCCTTTAAATGCCTTTTGTGGCCACAGACCCCCCCCCCAAGATTTAAATCATAATCTTTCTTCAAGTCTTCATGGACCCCCCTCTAATGACACTGCAGGCCCCCAGGGATCCGCGGACCACCAGCATAGATAAACCAAAGGAAGATTTTTTTAGCAGCATATGGTCAAATCCCTTGACCTGGTCTGATGACGGGGTTTTAAGGGTTTTAATGGGTTAATTTTAATTTTTTTAGATTTTAGTCTTTATTTTTATTGTGGCTTGTGTTTTATTGTTGTGAGCCGCCCTGAGTCCATTGTGAGATAGGGCGGCATATAAGCCGAATAAAATAAATAAATAAATAAATATGACGTACACAATGATGAGATTCTGTAGCAGCTGGACCATGCATCCCTTCTATTTCTCTGGATTTTATTTATTTATTTATTAATTTGATTTGTATACCACCCTTCTCCCAGAAGGGACTCAGGGCGGTGAACAGCCAAAATTAAAAAACATACAAATGCAAAAGTTAAGATAATTAAAAAGAATTAAATCACTGGCTACCCAATTTAAAACCCCAAATCCATAAAATTTAATATCCCAATTAAAAACCATTTAGGCTAGGCCGGCTTGATGAAATAAAAATGTCTTCAGGGCTTTACGGAAGGTCCGGGATCAATCGTATTCCAGGAGGCAGCTCATTCCACAGGGCGGGTGCCCCCACAGAGAAGGCTCGCCCCCTGGGGGCCGCCAGCCGACATTGCCTGACCGACGGATGATGCTTCTAAAGCAAAGGGGGGAACTTTTCCTGGTACAAATTCTAAAATTTGTAGTCTTCTATTAACTTCAGTTCTCCTGGTCCGGCCAGATGCCAACAAACAGGGAATTATAGAAAGTGTCACCCTGCTGCTTGCCTCCAAAGTACTGACGCTTCAGAAAATTTAAACGAAACATGGAAGTTCTGTCAAGTCACCTGTATCCAGCCCAAGAGACCGGTGACCACTGCTGTTCCTCCTTCACTTACATTCAAGTATTGGCGATTGGAGAAAATTTTCCCACAACCATCATAGTCACAAAGGAGAATCTCTCGCTTGGCTGCCTTCCTGTGAAGAAAGTCAAAGAGAGAAGAGACAGGGAAGCCAAAAGGAAGAGGGAACATGTCAAATCTCCAGGCTGAAGGTATGCAACAGAATTGTAGAACTATTAACACAACCTTTGTGTTAACATACAGAAGTATTTTATAGACATCTCTCCCCCACCCCAAAGTAAATAACCCTGGATTGTTTAGAGATCTTGATGGGTCAAAAATAATTTGGGCAAAGAGAGTTAAATGTATCATTTTACTTAAACTATAACCAGTGTGATTTTAATCAAATTAATTTGATAGCAAAATAGATTAATTAAGAGTTTTGGGGAAGCAGCTTTTCCCAAAATATTTCACTAGATGTTTTCAGTCTGTAACTATTGAAGTCTCCATGATTCCAAAAAGAAGGCAATTACAATAATCCATTAGGTTTTTAATAACTTTTGTATTATTAGGTAAAGGTTTCACGGATATGAATTTTTAAAATAATTTCCGGGTTTGCTAATCCTGACAAGCTATGGTGGGCCTTCCTAGCTGCTCTTCTCCTTCTTTGGATCTTGTAGTTGTTCCTTTGGGTGAAGCTGCTCTGTCTTATTCTAATGAGCAACAGCCATGGGCATGCAATGGTTAGAATGCAGTACTGCAAGCTAACTCTGCCAACTGCCTTCAGTTTGATCCTGACCGGTTCAAAGTTGACTCAGCTTTCCATCTTTCCGAGGTCGGTAAAACGAGGAGCCAGATTGTTGGGGGCAATATGCTGACATTGAGAGGGCTGTAAAGCACTATGAAGCGGCATATAAGTCTAAGTGCTATTGCTATGGCTAATGATGGTTTTTATTTGATGATGCATTATTTTTGTTGTAAGCTGCTTTGAGCTTGTTGGATTAAACAGCATATAAACTGCAATTTGTAAGTGGGATGGATGGATGGACAGATAATCGGACAGACAGACAATAAATAGACAAGCCAATAATCTTTGCCAGTCTTGCAGCTTTAATCAACCTACCTAAAGTTCCTATAAGCTTCCCTTTCTACTTTTGGCCCATGTTGGCTGAGGATATCATGAGCAACCACAGACTTGAACTTACCTGATTCTCTTAGGACCAATTTGGGACAAGTCTTCATCTCCTGGCTGTGCCTGCTTCTTGCAGCTAGAAAGAGAGATTGGGATTGCTTTTCATGAAAACTGGGCTAAAATGGCAATAAAAAACATAGAATCAATCAATGACTCAAATCAGTCAATAATAAAGCAAACATTTCTACACAAGGGCTTCGGGCTGACAAATATGGGGGAAAGGAACTCCCTGGAAAGCTGGCAGAAAAATGAAGGAACTGAATAAACCTGTCTAGGACCTTGGATGGGTCAAATCAATTTTATACTGTAAACTATACTGCATCAGTACTTTAATGGTACTCTATTCTTTAAGACAGAGGTTCAAAAGCTGAAACCCCAAGGTAGAACATGGCTCCCAATCAGTGATGGGTTTCAAGTTTTTTTACTACTGGTTCTGTGGGCGTGGCTTGGTAGGCGTGGCATGGTTTGGTGGGTGTGGCTTGGTGGATGTGGCAGGGGAAAGATACTGTAAAATCTCCATTTAGACCCCACTCCAGGGGAAAGATACTGCAAAATCCCCATTTCCTCCCTATCAGCTGGGACTTGGGAGGCAGAGAATAGATGGGGATGGGGCCAGTCAGAATTTTTACTACCGGTTCTCCGAACTACTCAAAATTTCCGCTACCGGTTCTCCAGAACTGGTCAGAACCTGCTGAAACCCACCTCTGCTCCAAATGTATTGATTATAGTCTAGACTGTTCCTTACACCAGAGGTGGGTTTTAAAAGGCTCTGACGATCCCAGCTGAGTCGTGCGATCATCAGAGGCTTTTTTTTTAACTTTTAAAAGCATTTTTTCAGCGGAAGAGGTTGTAGAAAAAATGCTTTTAAAAGTAAAAAAAAAAGCCTCTGATGATCGCACGGCTCAGCTGGGAATGGGGGGGGGGGCAGGGATTTTTGCTACCGGGTCTCCGAACCACCTGCCGCCATCGCTACCGGATCAGGTGATCCAGTCCGAACCGGGAGCATTTCACCCCTGGTTGTGACCCGAACCTAATTTTGGAAATTTGGCACTTACAAAAAAAATGGCATGGAAGGGGAAATCAGCTGCAGAAAAAAAATTGTGAGTTTTTTTGATCAGAACCCGATTTGGTTCTGGTCAGAAGCGTCCAAGAAAGTACTTCCTTGCTGATCTTTCATTATCCACACTGAAATGGACTCTGCTGCATTTAAAATCTTCTAATTTCATTACCTATCCATGGAAGGCTGATAATTTTCATCTTGCAGGTCATCCATGAATACCATATTATCTTCCTCTGTGAAATCTTCTGCTTCCTCCTCCTCTGGTGGACCAGACACCGATTCTGGTGTCTCCCCTGGTAGAGTTAAAATCCTGAAGAAAATACAAAAAATGAAAGGCCAAGATTCAGTCCACAAACATCCTTCATTCTGGATGAACCTTGGCTTGTTTAGTTTGGTACATTCCTCCTTTTCAGCTGATGTGGTTATTGGGTCAAGAATGGTAGGTTATAAGTCAAGTCAAGCCTCATGTTATTTTTATTAGAGATCTAAAGCAGCTTTCCCCTACCGGTCATCCTCCAGAGATATTTATTTAGTTAGTTAGTTCAATTTATATGCCGCCTTTCTCCAGAGACTCAGGGTGGCTTACAATGCATTTAAAAAACTATTATAAAAACATTTAAAATTAAAATATTAAAACCCATTCACACCACATAGACTTCAACTCCCAGAATTCCCCTACCAATATGTAATCACTGCTGAATTTACTGGAATATCTAAAGTTGGGAAAGACTGAGCTAACAACTAAACTTGGAATCCTTCTGTGCAGCTGGTCATGTTGTGAGCAATAGTACCTGGAGGATTAGTTTTTATTTCTTGCACTAGCTTTTGAGGCAATTAGGAAAATTATTAGGTTAGTTGCACTCCTATCTTTCCCCATTGGTGATAAATGGGGGGTGTGTGTGGAAAAATCTGGTAGAACTCAAATCCTGCTATGCAGCCTCATCAGGAGTGAAATGCTCCCGGTTTGGACCGGATCGGCTGATCCAGTAGCGATGGCAACAGGTGGTTCGGAGAACCGGTAGCAAAAATCCCTGCCCCCCCCCTCATGCCCATCTGAGCCGGGCGATCATCAGAGGCTGTTTTTTTTACTTTTAAAAGCATTTAAAAAGCATCGGCTGAAGAGGTTATAGGAAAAAAAATGCTTTTAAAAGCCTCTGACGATCCCAGCTGAGTTGCCTGATCATCAGAGGCTTTTAAAAGCATTTTTTAACAACCTCTTCGGCCCAAGAGGTTGTAGAAAAAATGTTTTTAAAAGTAAAAAAAAAAAGTTGGCCAATCCAGTCACATTACCCCACCACCACCATCACCAAGCCACGCTCACAGAACCGGTACAAACGAATTGTACATTTCACCACTGAGCCTCACTGTGGCAAGAGTTGGTGGGTCTGTATGTGTTCCTGGGAAGGAGGAGCAAAGAGCACTGAGACAATATGCCAAGAGAATATATTCTTAGCATGGTTACTCAAGACATTAAGGTCATCCTAGCTCCCAGCTAAACCAAGCAGGACAGCAATATAGGCAGTTATAATATGATAAAATGCTACAGGCAGATTATCATGTTAGTGACAATGGCAAAGGCATAACTAAGTACTGCAGGAGATAAGCCAATGATTTTCTACAAAGAAAATCACATTAAACAGCAAGATAAAATGACTCTCTCATGTCAGATGGCACTCAATATATTATGAGAAGTACTGATGGGGTTTAAGATGTGGCTAGATTAAAGCCTTCAGGATTTAGTTGTGGATGTTGCCATACAGAAAAAAAGAAAACCTGAAGTTGCAAAGAGAGTTATGGTGAGAATATAGAACCTAAGAACCATGAACATGGAAAAGCTCAATAAAATGAATGATGAAACAAATTGACTACACACACATTTACACCAGCAGATTGAAATGGGCCAGAATTGGACACTTTCAGTCAGAAGATTACACAGCCTGTTGTTGAGGGCATGAAAACAAAGAAGGCTTGGCATAGCTTTCAGAGGCAGGAAGGATAAAGCAGTGCAGTCAATGACCAAATAATAACACTCAATGTCAGAACAAATGGTGGAAATTGCCGAGAAGAGATGTCCAAACCAAAAAAATGAAGATTGCATTAAAAAACTGAAACAAAGAATTTTATATTGAGGTTAGAAGAGGCATGAAGCCATATTACAATGACATCTGTTGAAATAAAAGATGGAAATAGACACAACAAAATACGGAAAGACTTTAAAAAGATGTCCAAATGGAGGTTGGACATATTCACATATTGATTACTGTTGTCATGAGTGGACTTTCTGAAGGATCAGGCTGAGGACAGATCATTCTGGAAAGGTCTATGTATATGATTGCTAAAAGTTGACACCAACTAGCCAGCCAGTCAATCAATCATTAAAAATGGCCAAGCCCCAATCATTTAAGGACATAAATTTAAAAATTTCAGGAATTTATTCAATAATAATAATAATAATAATAATAATAATAATAATAATAATAATAATGGTATCCGTGCAATACCTGGTGATGCACGGATTGAAGATAAGCAGCAAGAAAAAAATCACAAAGTACCAGGACGTGCAAATTGAAGTTGAGCGACTATGGAAAAAGAAATTGTGTGTTGTCCCGATTGTAATTGGAGCCCTTGGAGCAATCCCCAAAGGGCTACCCCGCTATTTAGAAATTCTAAATTTACCGGACTTGAACATTTTGACTCTACAAAAAACCACCTTACTTGGAACAGCTTACATCCTCCGACGATACCTTAACAGTTCCTAGGTCCTTGGTTAGGACTCGAGCTGCTGAGCTATTAACCAGCCTCAAAGGCTGTGAATCTCACTAAAGATTAACCACCACCACCAACAACAACAACAACAACACAACCACAACAACAACTACAACAACCACACACACAAAGGAAAACCAGGAATAGATTTTTGTATAGAACGGTTGTGGATGTTCACTATGAGGCTCAGAACAAATAATGGGATCCTTATTCTTCCTCAATGTCTTTCCAAGATGTCTTTTGCACCAGGTTTCTTTGGCAAATGTCATTTTTACAAAAGACACCGTCAATCTTGTAAATCTGAAAAGCCATTTGCCCTCAACACATAGCATGGCAAGCAAGTTCCATTTGGACCCTGCTATGATGGCATGAGAGAAGAAATATACCTTTCAGGCCCTGGAGCTTCAGTGCTACCTGGAATCTCATCTGGTGCAGCTTCTACAAGAGAAAAACACAGCAGTGTCAGATTGAGAGAAGAGAATCAGCAAAACTGCAGTCTTTTTAAGGTAAGTCATTTAAAAGGAGCTTGAATGCTGAAGCTCAACAGTGGACATAAAATCGCTTCCAAGACCATTTCCCTAGACCAGGGGTGTCAAACTCAAGGCCCGGGCGCCAAATCTGGCCTGTGGGGTACTTAGATCTGGCCCACGAGGCCGCTCTGGAAACAGCGAAGGAGCGGCCCCATGCAGCCCTCCCAAGCTCTGTTTTCCCTGGCAGAAGGTTGCAGGAGGCAGCGGCAGCCAAAAATGGAGCTCGGGAGCCCGTTTTCGCTGGCAAAGCATTTGGGCCACCACAGGCACCCCCAACAGGAGTGATATCGAGCTGGCCATTCCCACCCTATCCATGCCACCCTCCCCCCCAAGGTGAAACACAACCCTGATGCGGCCCTCAATGAAATCGAGTTTGACACCCCTGCCCTGGACCATATTTCTTTTTTTTTAAAAATACAGAAACCTACTTGGTTCGCTTTTAATAATCTCTTGCCTGGTTAGCACTGGTGAGTAAGAATCTCCTTTAGGGGATCAGACAGAAATATTTTTGAAAACTACAAAGAACTTCCTTTCTTTCTTGTTCCCCCAGAATATATGTTTGGTGAGCAGGGATGCTATTCAGCAGGTTCTGACAGGTCCTGGAGAACCAGTAGCGGAAATTTTCAGTAGTTCGGAGAACCGGCAAATACCACCTCTGGCTGGCCCCAGAGTGGGGTGGGAATGGAGATTTTGCAATATCCTTCCCCCAGGAGTGGGGTGGGAATGGGGATTTTGCAATATCCTTCCCCTGCCACGCCCACCAAGCCATGCCCACAGAAACGGTAGTAAAATAATTTGAATTCCACCACTGCTTGATAGATTAGTATTCCCTATAAGTGCATTTGTTTGGTTCTTTATTCAAGAGCAGTGACATTCCTTCTAGTCTCAATATCTCCCACTTCCAACTTCAGGCTGCCTTTCTTTTTCAAAATGCATGTCCCTTGCCCTCGCTGTTGTAAAAACTAGAGTCTTAATTTTTAGTGGGGGGGGGGGTAAGAAGAAAGAGCTTGCTTCCTCACTGGTATTTTGCAGGGTTTCCTCTTTCTTAGTAATTTTGGACTAAGATTATTTAGGATTACTGGACACACAGTAAAAGTGTTATTGATAGGCTCAAAAGCTTGAAATAAACTTCTAGCCACAACCCAGGTATCCAACGATAAAAACTTGACTCTGGTCCACTTCTGCCCTATAGTCAACCCTCCCTGCCTCGTGCATGGTTTGCATATGCTACCAATCTATCACCTTTGCCCAACACAAGTCTAGCTTTCCAGCCTCCCAATTCCATCAGTGGCTCCTCCACCCACTCTCCTCACCTGTTTCATCCGAATCTGTATTGCACAGTAATTCTGTCTCCTTGTCCAGACCTGTGTCACCGGCAGGAAACATACACGTGGTCCTCTCTCTATCTGTACCACATTCCTCGTCCGCTTGGGAAGATGGTTCTGGCTCGTCCACAGGACAGGGCGAGTTGGAAGCAAGTGCTAACGAAATGGCATGGGCTGCTGCTGCCTTGCGAAGGGAGCGCCGGCATCTGGTGACCCGGGCAGGTGGAGGACTCAGCTTGGAAGTGATTGCTTCCTCCTCTTGCTCCTGTCTGCCACCTGAGGCTGTTTGGCAAAAGGGTGGCGGGCTGATCTTTGAGACAGGGGGACACCAGGCGAAAGTATGACCAGCCAGGCACTCCCATTCCATCTGGCTGCAGACTCTTTCCTGCTCCAGGAAAGCAGTCTTCACGTTAGGGATGAAGCTGCATTCCTGGCTGTGATTGTGAGAAAGGACAACCAGACGTTGCAATGCCTCCGAAGGAAAAACGATGGGATCAGGATCGGAGCTGTCTGATCCTGAAGAGGAGGAGAAAAAAAAAAAAAGACTCAGCTTTAACAGGGAAGCAAAACTTCAGTGTGAAATTCCCCACTCTTAAGTTCTCTATCCTATTTTTGATCTCAAAAGGAGAAACTGAATTTCAGTTCAAGGAAGTATATAATTACTGATAGTCCTTGACTTATAACTAAGGTGACCAGATTTTAAGATTGATAAAGAGGGACATCATTGTGGGCGTGGCTTATTTTGTGGGCGTGGCTAGCTGGTCATGTGACCGGGTGGCCATGGCTATGTGTATAGGGACTACTCAGAGGGCTGAAAAAAGTCATTTCTGACAGGTCCTCACACTTTTGACTGGTCCTCACACTTATGACCATCCTCACATTTATGCCCATGCAGCATCCTTAACAACCATGTCACTAATTTCACAACTGCTTCTCTTCACCATGGTGATAAGATAGGGCAAAAAATGTAAAATGTGAAGACAGTCGTAAGTTCGAGGACTGGTCAAAAGTGCGAGGACCAGTCAAAAATAACTTTTTCAGCCCTCTGAGTAGTCCATATGCATAAAAGGATACAGCAATAGAGAGGGATGAAGGAAGGGAAGGGAAATTAGAGTAGGAGTGAGGGTAAGAGGGGGAGGAAGAGAGGAGGAGAAGGAGAAAGGAAGAGGAAGTAGGGAGGAGAAGAAGAGGGTGGGGGGAAGAGAAAGTAAGAAGGAAAGAAAAGAGAGAGGTGGTAGGTTTGAGGAGAAAGATTGCTGTACAATAAAAAAGATGAAAGGAAAGAAAGCCAACCCCAAACAAATATAAAGATATTAAGATAAAGAATGAATGGTTAAACTTTAAAGAATAAAAGAGAACAAATATGAATAAATAGCAGTAATTAGAAACACACATACAAACATACAATTTATTTTCTTTGAACAGAGTATTTGGCCGGTTCACAAATTTAAACAGTGTTTAGTCACTTCAATTAAATTTACAATTTCTATATTTCCTTTTTGCCATATTTATTCCTCATCTATTTTTTTAAAAAAACCAATATTACCCTTCATCCTCATCTCTAATCTTAATCAAATTCAATTTTTCCCTTCTATTCTATATTATACCCCTTCCCATTGTCATCTATTTTTATATCCATCCTCACATTGTTTAATTATGTAATTATGTAATACAGTTGTTTAATACAAATTCAACATTTTAATATAAATCAATTAGTTATAAAACTATCTTTTTTGTATATTAATCAATATGAACATGAATATTCCAATTATTTCCATGCAATCCAATTTCTTACAAATCAATTAATTATATTTACCAATAATAATAAACCAAATAATTTCCCCCATATATTCCTCTGAACCACAACTTAACCATTTCTGCTTTCAACACAATATACAATTAATAGTATCTCAATTATTACAATTCCCTAGTTAAATACAGCTTTTTTTTCTTTTGTGTTTTAAAATCTTGAACTCTCCTCCTAAATTTCCCATTGTTTGCAGTTTTTCACCTACCTTTTTTGGGGAGGAAAAATAAAAATAAAAATAAATCTCTCTCTGCCTCATTTTGTCACGTTGCACCAAAGATCCTGGTTTCGTTTTCGTTTCTGCAGCTTAGCTAGGGGAAAAAAAACTGCTTCAGGAACTCTTTACACTGATTGCCTGTAGGGCGGCCCTTTGAAGCCCCGGGCAAGAGTTTAAACAGTTTTTTTTTCTTCTAGCCATCAGCTGGGGCTCAAGAGGCAGCGGGACTCAGGAGGCAGAATGAAAAATCGGGACTTTTTTGAAACGCCGCGGGACGCGGGACAAATTGCTAAAAATCGGGACTGTCCCGCCAAAAGCGGGACGTCTGGTCACCTTACTTATAACATTCAATGACTGTTTGAAGTTACTACGTCACTGAAAAAAAGTGATTCATGACTATTTTTCACTTACAACTGTTGCAGCATCTCCATGGTCACGAGAGCAAAATTCAGACACTTGGCCACTGACTCACATTTATGACGGTCGCAGTGTCCCAGAGTCATGTGATCCCCTTTTGCGACCTAACAACTATGTTATTAACTTAACAACTGCAGTGATTCACTTCATAACTGGGGTAAGAAAGGTCATAAAATGGAGCAAAACTTGCTTAACAACTGTCTTACGTAACAACAGAAAGTTTGAGCTCAATTGCAGTCGTAACTCAAGGACTACCAGTATAAGCCTGTTCTAGACCATCGATAACCTGTAAGGGCGTTTACCTGTTTTCAATACTGAGGCATGTGAACTGTACCTACAAAAGAAAGATAAGAGGTAGAGTGAGCAGACAGAATAAGTTGTGCTCACACATGAGCAATAATAATATCTAAACTGCATTCAGCGTACAAGATAATTTTAATAATAAAAATCAGCAGTGCTTCTCAAATGTGGAACTTCCACAGGTATGGACTTTAATTATCAGAATTCTGAGGAGTAACTATACTTACCTGTGGAACTCTGGGAGTTGAAGTCCACTTATCTGACAGCTGCCAAGTTTAAGAAACACCGAACATTTTCTACTGTTTCTGCCAGCTTCTCTTTTAAGGTTCTCCTAGCTCAGGGGTCAGCAACCCGCGGCTCTGGAGCCGCATGTGGCTTCTTTATCCCTCTGCTGCAGCTCCCTGTCACTCAAAATATGTGTCACAATCGCCCATGTGCGACACCCGCCGGCACACAATTTATTGAGCTTTTCGACCCCCAGTAAGCCAATCATGGATAAATAAGTTTTTTTTATACATAGCATAAAGGTAAAAAACAATATATGCAGCGTTATCTTCATTTTAGATATCAAAAAGGTTTTGTGGCTCCCGGCGTTTTCTTTTCTGTGGGAAACAGGTCCAAATGGCTCTTTTGAGTGTTTAAGATTGCTGACCCCTGTCCTAGCCAATTAAAGATTGGAACAAAATAAGAACAGGAAGAAAGGCGTTAGAATATCCCAAAGTGATGTCCCAGTGCCTGGAGGCCGTGCGGGTCTGGATGGGGAGAAACAGGCTTCGACTCAACCCTTCCAAGACCGAGTGGCTGTGGCTGCCGGCGTCCCGGTATAGCCAGCTGACGCCATCGCTGGTTATTGGGGGCGAATCATTGGCCCCCACGGAGAGGGCCCGCAACTTGGGTGTCCTCCTGGATGCACGGCTGTCTTTAGAAGGGCATATGACGGCCGTGGCCAGGGGGGCTTTTTGTCAGGTTTGCCTGATACGCCAGTTGCGCCCCTTTCTGGACTGGGACTCCCTACACACGGTCACTCAAGCACTCGTCACCTCTCGTCTGGACTATTGTAACGCTCTCTACATGGGGCTCCCCTTGGGGTACACCCGGAGGCTCCAACTGGTGCAGAATGCGGCCGCGCGGGGGATTATGGGAGCGATGGGGCGCTCCCATGTGACTCGGCCGCGCGGGGGATTATGGGAGCGACGGGGCGCTCCCATGTGACTCCTCTCCTGCACGAGCTGCATTGGCTTCCGGTGGACTTCCGGGTGTGCTTCAAGGTGTTGGTGATCACCTTTAAAGCGCTGTATGGCTTAGGGCCAGGGTACTTACGGGACCACCTTCTGCCACCAATAGCCTCCCACCGGCCGGTTCGCTCCCACAGAGAGGGCCTCCTCAGGGTGCCGTCGGCTAGACAATGTCGGCTGGCGACCCCCAGGAGGAGAGCCTTCTCTGTGGTGGCACCTACCCTATGGAACAATCTACCCCCAGAGATACGAGTGATCTCCGACCTCCGGACTTTTCATCGGGCCCTAAAAACTTATTTTTTTCAGTTAGCCGGTCTGTCTTGATTTTAGGCTTAGTTTTAAATTTTTAATATTGATTTTAGATTGACAAGTTTTAAATTACGGGCCAAATTTATAAATTATTTTAACTCTATTTTTAACTGTAATGTTATGTAAAGATGTTTTTATTTTGGCTGTTCACCGCCCTGAGTCCAAAAGGAGAAGGGCGGTATAGAAATTTGAATAATAAATAAATAAATAAATAAAATGAGGATGGGAGCGGCTGATGATGGGAGCGACTCTCTGTGAGCTTATTAATATATTTTCTACACTGTGAAATCTCAGCTCGATATTCTCTTCCTCTAAAATAGCAGAAAGGTTGCGACATTTGCCCAAAATCAAGCAGTTCAACCTCCCGTTAAAGTATTATTAATTAATTAATTAATTAATTAATTAATTTTATTATACTTATATGCCGCCCTTCTCCCAAAGGACTCAGGGCGGCTCACAGAATTAAACGATTAAAAACAATAAAAATAAACTACTAAAAACAGTCAATTTAAAATCTCCCAGTTAAGAATCACCCATCAGATCAGCAAATTTGTTGGAAAAGCCATGTCTTCAGGTCAGTAGCATGAGACATGTCACACAGCCCTTCACTTAAATTCATAGAGTATATTTGGACAAAACTAACCGAGGTAGAGATTGTCATTGTGCACAAAGTCTCACCTGTCAAGCAGATATTTCGCCAGCTGGGAATGGAGAGAAAAACCCAGCTGCTCTTTGAGCTGACACCACTGCTCCAGGTGGCATCCGATACGGATTCGGCACTTGCTGCGTCGGGCATCCAGGTCTTTACGTTTCTGCTTGCGAATAATCTCGGAGGCCCGCTGGCGGCCCTTGCGTCCACGCCGCATCATCTCACTGAACTGGACAGACAGGCAGATTAAGAATCTGCATAGAATAGCCACTGGATCATAAGTACATTACATGCCCACGAAGAGAGATTTGTCTCCATCCATAGTTGAAGGATCCAGTGGCTCTGGCCAGCATGGACAGTTCTGCCTTCTGTTTCAGGGGTTGTAAATATTCCAGCTGTGACTCCAACATCAGAAGACTTTAGATGGCACCACTGCCTAGAAAAAGATGGTCAATGGGCAACCTAAGCCGAGGAAGAGGACAGGATGTTATCCCATGTTCCTGGCCACACATAAACACTAAAATCTCTGTTCCATATTTGTAGACCCCAATTTTGGATTTTTGTCACTGTAATAATGCTTTATAAAGAGCACCTCATGCTCATGGAAGAAAACTATAGTATCACATCATAAAATGTGTTCCTACTTGGGTACACATATAAAATTCATTTGCAGGAAGCAAAATGGAAATCATTGGAGTTAAGTGCTAGGCAGATATGACAGCAAAACTGAATATTTTTTCAAAGTCACCAGTATCACTTCCATAAATATATCTGAACACCCCCCCCCTTTTTTTTTTTGCAAGGTAGATGAATCTTCAAGAAGTGCCTAATGGTAATCGTTAGCAGCCTCTTTTTTAAAATTAAGAGTGAGCTAAAACAAAAAACAAGATGAAGTTGAAAAGAACGTTTCAGTACATAGTGAAAAAGCCTCAAAATCTTTATCTAATAGTCTTAAGATAAGGTACACTAGATATTTTAAATAAACAAATATTTATGAAGGACCGCGTTCTACTGAATCCACAATTCTTTTATTTTTTCCACTGTCAGAGGCATATTTAACTCTGGAATAAGTTAAACCTGTGGTCCTGATCAGGAGACAAGATTTTAACTTGTACCAAGAGCTACTAACACAAGGAAAATACCAATTCTGCACTTGTTCGTATCAAATCTCGGCGGTCATTCCGCTCCTCTTGCCTTCCAAGCCGAATTTGCAGCACAAACCAGTTGCTTGGAATACGAAACGCGCGTAGAAGTAGAGTGGGGGGGGGAGACAGAAAAGGCAGTAGTTCTTACGATGGCAAAACCGAAAATGCATCAGCAGCTTTGGCTTTCCACTTCGTTCCACACGTTTCCATGAATTTACATGCAGAAATCCTACGTTGTTGTCCCAAGTTGCCAGGCTAGCTTTCCTCTCTTCGGGATAGTTTCATGGCTGGGCACATGGCTCCTCCTTTGCCTCTGAGTGAAGATGAACATCTCGAGATTTTGCTTATAAGGCAACCTCGAGGATGTCCGTCCAACCGTCCAGTTCCTTTAAGGGTCAGGTTGCAAATCCCGGATAGACTTGAAATGCCGCTACACCGCTGAAGCGGAGACAGTTGCCGCCCATCTTGGAAAAAGCAATGGCACAGGAAGGGGTTGGATCAGCTCTGGGTCAGAGCTATGCATGGCCTGCAACGGCGGGCAAATTGGAAGAAGCAGCAAAAGGAAAAATGCGGCCCACTGTAAATTGAGCTGCGGGTGTGTTTAGTTATACATTAAGTTATTCCCCTTGGAGAAGTTCCGTCGCCAAAGTACTTTTCCACGAGTCTGATAGCAGCTTTCAAACGCGAGCCAGACCAGAGTGAGAACTTCTGCATCCTAGACTAGGTTCGGATTGTTTCAGCACTCCAGCTAAATCGTGACAGCCACTCACTCGAAGCTACCATTTAGAAAGGAGGAAAGAGATCGGAACCTTGCCTTGACAAGGACTATGTTGTTCTGTTCCCAGACTTCAGCTGACCAGTGGGTAACTGCTCTGGCTTCACAATCTGAACTTTGACTCAGTGAACTAGTCCATCAGAATTGGGTAGAACTTGGTGCACAAGTCCCATGAATTCCGATGCGCATCCTTGTCTTTTAACAGGACAAGGTCCCTTTCCTCAAGGTTAAGTTCTTTAGTCTTTCACTTGCCTATTCCTGTAGAATAGGCAAGTATTCTTGTTTCCAGCGCTTCCAGAAGGTGTTGGCCAGCAGTTGAACGTGTCTCCATTGTTGTGCATACATGTCCTTTGGGACAAAGTTCCCTTCTGGGTCAGCAAAGTGGCTGGGGTGAAGATAGTAGGATTCTCCAGATCCGAGTAAACCGGGCTCAAGGGTCTAGCATTGATGAGAGCTGCTACCTCTGCCATGAGGGTGGTGAGGACTTCACAAGTTAATGTGGGTGTCTTCATCAACATGGAATCTAGAATTTTACGGGCTATTCCGATAATTTGTTCCCATACTCCTCCCATATGGGAGGCATAGGGAGGATTGAATGTCCATACAGAGTTTTTGGTCTTCAGGTAGTTATCGATTGCCGATCAAGGCGAGTACCCTCACCGATCCATAACTCCTTGCAGGCTCCTACAAAGTTAGTTCCACGGTCAGAACTAAACATCGCGACTGGGCCTCTATAGGCTTGGAACCTTCGGAGAGCATTGATAAAGCTGGAGGTGTCCATAGATTCGATGACTTCAATGTGAACAGCTCGAATGCCAAGACATGTGAAGAGAATGGCCCAACATTTGCTGTTAGCTTGGCTGCCTCTGGTCCGGCGGGTAGACACTGACCAAGGGCCGAAGACATCTACACCTACATTGGTGAATGGCAGTCCTGTGCTGAAACGTTCAGGAGGTAGGTCGGCCATCCTCTGGTGTTGTGTCACACCTGGTTGCTTGCGACAATGCATGCACCTGTGCAGGACAGAGGCAATGGTCCTCTTGCCCCCCCCCCGATCCAAAATCCAGCAGCTCTGACAGCTCCTTCTGTGAAGTGGCGGCCTTGATGGTGGACAGTTTCGTGGTAGTGTAGGACTATCAGATTTGTCACATGTTGGTGAGCAGGGAGGATGATAGGGTGTTTGACATTTGAGGCTAATTCTGCCTTGTCTAGACGCCCTCCTACTTGAAATACGTTGTTGCTTTCGAGGAACTGGTTCAGCTTCAGCAATCAGCTGGATTTCGGGACAGGCTTCTCAGCTTTTAGACACTCCACCATTACCGGGTATGCTTCTCGCTGCACACTTTGTAGAATTACACTCTCTGCTACGAGCTGGCAGCCTGAGAAGGTTATATCACGATACAGTATACGTACAAGTGTTATTGCTCCCCGTACCAGAGATTCCATCTAGAGAAGTGTTCGAAATGAGCTGATTCTAGGGGGCGGGCTTGAAGATTTTCTGATCTTGTCTACTCTATTACTGACGTAGACTTAAAAGCGTCTGCTTTGGTTGTGAATGTAGCCCAACACCACTTTGCTGTCAGTGTAGAAGGTGGTGGGTTGGAATTCAAGGTCCATAGTCTGTGAGCTCCACAGCTAATACGGAACCACAGTTCCAGTCTTGGTATGGTGTGACCTTGTAGTGGTGCTAGTTTTGCTTTTCCCATGATGAAGTCGATGTGAACGTTGCTCTCCCCGCCATAGACCCTGATGTATCCCATGGCTGCTATAGTCTTCACTGACGTATCTGAGAAGATATGCAGTTCTTTTTTCAGTGTGGCGGTTGGGAACATACGTGCATTGTACATGGACGTTCTGGAGGCAGCTCAGGGAGGTATGCCATATCTCCCAATTTTCCTTCTGCTCTGGTGGAAGCGGTTCATCCCAATCGTTGGTGCTTTGGGACAGTGTATGCAGAAGGAGCCTCCCTTGAATCGTTACCGGTACAGCAAATCCTAGAGGATCAAACAGACTGTTCACTGTTGACAGAACTCCTCTCCTTGTGAAGGCAGTTTTCTGGGCTGGGGCTCTAAAGGTGAAGACATCCTTCTTCAAGTCCCAACACAGACCGAGGCTCCGTTGGATAAGGGGAGTGTCAATGCTAAAATCGAGGTCCTGTACTCTCTTGGCATGGTCCTCAGGCTTGAAGGCTGCTAGCACTTCTTCACTGTTGGATGCGATCTTGTGTAGCTTGAGGTTGTGTGTTCTAGCATCTGACATGTTCTGTCTAATAAGTCTATGGCTTCTGCTGGGGTGGGTACAGATTTCAAGCCATCATCAACATAGAAGTCTCGTTCCACGAAACGCCTGGCATCTGAACCATGCCTGGTTTCACCTACGCAAGTGGTGTGTGGCAGGCCATAGTTGGTGATTGCAGGGGAAGAACCATTCCCAAATATGTGCACTCGCAGTCTGTATTCTGTGACCTGTTGATTGTGCTGTCCATCACTGAACCACAGGAAGCGCAGGTAGTTGCAATGATGTTCCCTGACAAGGAATGAGTAAAACATCTGCTGGATGTCGGCCATGATGGCTATGGCTTCCTTTCTGAAACGGATGAGCACACCTAACAGCCTGTTGGCAAGGTCAGGTTCTGTGAGAAGGACTTTGTTCAGGGAGAGGTTGTGGAACTGTGCGCTGGCATTGAAAACCACTCTTATCTGATCTGGTTTTTGTGGATGGTATACTCCAAAGAATGGCAGGTACCAGCATTCCTCATCTTTCTCCAGGGCAGAGGCAAGGTTGGCATGCCGGTTCTGGACCATCTTGTCCATGAACTCCACCAGATGAGCTTCCTGTTCATGAGTTGTCTCAAGCTGAAGAGGCGAGAGAGAGCCTGTTCATAATTGTTTGGCAGACGCTGTCTGGGTGTACGAAAGGGGAGCGGGGCTACCCAGCTTCCTCTAGCGTCTTTCCGAAATTCCTTTTCCGTGAACTGCAGAAATTGTCCTCTATTGACAAGGCTAAGTCGTTGTCCTCTTTGCTGGTCTGGAACACTGTCGCACCTAGGTCAGGGTAGTTCGTCAAAATTGTGAAGTGTTCTCAACATGGCTTCAAGTGGGATGCTCTCCCATTGCTCAGAATGGAGGTCGTGAAGATACTCGCTGTCAAGTGTCAAAAGCCCTTCGACAACACATCACCCTGATGGATGGTGTTGAAGACCATGGAGGGGATCTGGAGAATCCTGACGGATTCCAGCAACAAAACACGGTGGAGGGAGGTGTTGCATTAGGACACCATGTACACTAATAGTGGGTGATGGACAGAAGGCAAGAAGAGGGGGAGTGGAATGGGAACGTAAATCAGCTGCTGAAGAGATAATAGTGTGGAGGGGAATGATGTCCTTTGCCTGCGACGAGTACGAATGGAACAAGCGGCAGGTTTGATTGTGACAGCTGTGAGAAATCATTGCCTGCCTAATGATAGTTAACTGAATCCAAGCCCTATAAAACAGTACAGATGGAGAGCTAGGGCGTCTCCGACTTTGTTTTGCTTATCAGCTCAGTCTCTACTGTACGCTGCTGTGTTGCCTCCATTAAACCGGGTTTTGGAACAAATCCTCCTTTTCGTGTGTGCATGTTCGTTTGCGCCCAGTGAAGCACTGGCAGCTCCAGAGGGGCTGAGACTCACCTGGTTTGGAGCCTGCAGCCGGTCAACACAGACTGTTCCTAAGATGGCCCATCCGAGTGCTGTCTTGAGGGCAAATGGAGAGCCTGCTGGGCCTTTGACCACTGCGTGCTGAGGGAAAGCTTCGGGGGGTCCATTCCCAACAAGAGCAAGATTTCGGCTTCGGAGTCTAGAGCAGGAAAGAGCCATATTACTTGCTACCTCTGGTGTCGCGATCTGACTGTGATTGTCTGGTAAAGCGTCCCATTCTAGCAATGGTGGCACTGTGAATTTTGCACTTCCGTCTAACGATTCTATGCATGGTCCCATAACCTTCTTCCCCGCCATGTGCTGTAATCCAGTGCACGTTGAAATCGTGAAGTGTGTGTTCTCGGTATGGACGTCAAAGTGGTCGAAGAAAACTGATCTGGCTAACGATTGGTTGCTCTGTGTGTCCAGTATCACATACATTTTCATGACCGGGCTCTCTAGGTGGGCTGCGTAGACGTCACTTACTAATTCTGCAGAGTTTGGTCCCAGCCATGGCAACATATGCTTGAGTTCCTTGGCCGGCCGCAACCCTTCGTCGCAGATGGTACTCGTGAAAATGAGCTTCCATAGCAAGTAGTCTCTTCCCAGGTTGTCCGAGAATTTCCGCACACCACTAGCTGCCAAATCCAACTTTCCCCATCGGGGTGATCTACATTTCTTCTTGTAGAATCCCTCTGGGTTTCAGAATTGTCGTACTCTGGATGTGGTGACCTACGCCCCAGGGAGGTGACGGGCATGTGCTGGTGTTTTCCTGTCAAGTATTTTATGAGGAGGTCATCTTTCCATGATATGGAGAAAGGTCGTATACCTTGTCGACAGGCAGGCTGTGTTCATTGGACTGTGCGTCCTCACTCAAGAGGCCTTGAGGATTTGACAGGAACTCCTTAGCCTCAACGTTGAGGTTGTATATCGTGGCTGCTTGTGTGCTTGCCTGCTGAGGCACCTTCGCTGCTACTGATGGAGTACTCTGGTTAGTCAGGGTAGGATGTCCATTCCCAGGGGAGGACTCTTGTGGTCCAGATCGTACAATATCAACTGCATGAGTAATTTGTAAACCTGGTGGGTGAGGTTCTCCTCCTCGTTCGCTTGGTTTTGCGGGTCTTTCGATCGACCGTGTCGCTCCTTCCTGCTTGCGCTGTAACACATTCTGGTCATCCATATAGGCTTTGACCCGGCTGTACGAGCTTTCACCGTCTGTCTTTCCAGTGTCATAGTTGGATATGGCGGTTTTAGTCTCCACCTGTAAAGCTGTGGCCCATGCTGCCCTTATTGCAGCCTCCTGTTCTTGCTGAAGAAACTCAAGATTGGCCTGAGCTTTTGTAACATGTAGAGCTGCGGCAGCCATCTCAACCGCCATCTCTTCCTTCTGCAGTAGCTCTGCTTTTGCAACATGTAGAGCTGCAGCAGCCTCTGCAGCTTCGACTCATGCTTCGGCGGCCCGGGCGGTGAGACTCCTTGCTGTGAAGGCCTGAGACAACTGGCTGTGATGAGAAGATGCTTTGGAAGTATGGAGGGAGCTTGAGGCAGAAGATTGCTGTAAGATGCTGCTACCCAGCCAAGATTGGGATGACTTGTAAGGGGGGACCACCTATGACCAATGAGATGGCACATGTGAGCGAAGGGTAGCTTTGGATTCAGCCTTCTCGCTCACAGCTTTCTTGGAAGAATGAGCGGCAGATGCATGTGAGCATTGGGGTGGGGAGGCTTCCTCCCTTGATGTGTTTTTCACCTGGAGTGCAGTGTGGAAGGAGTCCTTACAACCTTGAAATATCTTCCCACTATCTGCATTCAACATCTCTAAGTGTTGCATGTCCTCCACGAGCTCTTCTAGCTGCTGCTGGATGTTGATGAGATGGCTTTCAGAACCCTTCCATTGTGTGTAAAGTTCATCCATTTTATTCACCAACGAGTGGATGCACTTGTGTGAAAGCTCATCCAGGGGCATGTTGCAGATCTGTTGTAACTTCACCCAATACTCTTCGTTGCAACGATAATGCTTGTCCCAATCTTCCCTCAGGCTTGACTGCATAACATCAGTAAGTTTCCTACACTGCCTGAGGTCATAGGTTCTCTGATGTGCCTCGGCTTCTTTTGGAATTTGGACATCCAATTCTGGGTTTGTATCAAAGTTAGGTGGGGGGAGGATCATCTTTCCTGATGAATCAGATGCTTCTGCCATGATTCGACAAGACTCCATGGCATTTGATACTTCAGACGTGTCTAGATTGGCTGGGAGGACCAACTCTGCTGACACATTAGAGGCCTCAGCCATGACAGGGAAAACTCAGGGGATTTCCTGGATACTATAGGACCACTAGAATGCGTTGCAAACTTTAGGCATTGTCGATGCAGTTCGCTTTTGACCACTGGGGTGCTTTGCAAAGTTTAGGAGTCGTCGTTGCAGTTAGCCTTCTGACCATTGGGGTGCATTGCAAACTTTAGGAGACATCATTGCAGTTTGCCTTCTGACCACTGGGGTGCGTTGCAAACTTTTTTTTTTTTATAAAAAAGTTTTTTTATTTTTTTAAGACAAACAAACATATAATACATCAGTCCTTTCGTGTGTCATCTCGATGTTTCTTCGGTGATTACTTCTTTTTTATTTACTTACTCCTCTTTTTATTTCTTCCTTAATAAATCCCATTTCTCTATTTCAATATTTCCCCTCAAATACATAAATTTAATGTAACTTTCTCCTGTTTGCTTATCAAATTCTTTATCTATATCTCTTTTCTATCCAATCATAAAATTTCCCCCATATCTTAAAATATTCCGTATCCTCTTTTTCTTTAATCATTAAAGTTAATCTATTCATCTCTGAGCAGTCCAAAATTTTTCTAATTACTTCCCTTTCTCAAGGGATTTTCTCTGCTTTCCAACTTTGTGCAAATACTATTCTTGCTGCAGTTATTATATGTATAATCAAATAAACATTTTCTTTACTAATTTTCTCTGGTAGGATACCCAGTAGGAACAACTCAGGTTTTAAATCAATATGTTGTTGAGTCATTTCTTCTATCCATATCTTAATTCTGTTCCAATAATCTTTAACTTTTGGACAAGTCCACCACATATGATAATAAGATCCTGGTATTTGGTGGCATTTCCAACATTTAGCTGATTTATCTTTAAACATTTTTGCCAATTTTTCAGGACTCATATGCCATTTGTAAAACTTTTATATTGATTCTCTTTATATGCAGCCAACATTGTTAGTTTATAGTTCCTTTCCCATAACTGTTGCCATCTATCAAGCTCAATTGAGTATCCACAATTTTTTGCCCATGCAATCATTTCTTTTACTTGCTCTTCTTCTAATTCAATACTAAGCAGAAAGTTAAAAAATTTTTAAATTATTTTGTCCTGTTCCCTCGAGTATCCTATCCAGATCTGTCATTTCTAAATAGAAACCATATAATTTTGCATCTTTTTCATATCTTGCTTGTATTTGCATATACATATACCAGTCCCTCACAATCCCTTGTTCTATCAATTCCCCCTTATCTGTAAGTAAATCTTTATATCTAAAAATATTTTTAAAATTAACCATATTTGGGTGTATTAGTGCTTCTATTATTGATAGCCATGTTGGAATTTTCACATAATATTTATCTCTAATCTTCTCCCATACTAATAACAATGCATTTCTTACATAATGTCTATGTATCTTACTTCTACCATACCATAAAAACGCATGCCATCCCAATTGTAAATCATGTCCTTCCAAAGTTAATAATCTTGTATTTCTTAATTCTATCCATTCTTTCATTCAAGTCAGTGTTGCTGCCTGGTAGTATAATTCCCAGTTCGGCAGTCCAAATACTCCCCTTATTCTTACATCGTAACAACTTTATATTAATTCTCGTCTTTTTCCCCTGCCATATGAACTTCCTCATTATTTTATTAAGTTGTTGAAAATAGGTCTTTCAATTCTTATTGGAATTGTTTGGAATAAAAACAATAATCTCGGTAGTATATTCATCTTGATTATTGCAATCTTTCCCCTAAGTGATAGTTGCAAAGTTTTCCATTTTTCTAGATCTTTCTCAATTTGTCTTTTTATGTTGTAATAATTATCTTCTTTTATCGTTGCACATCTTGAAGTTAGTTGTATTCCTAGATATCTCACTTTTTTCACAATTTGTATGTCTAATTTCTCCTTTAATTCTCTTTTTTGTTTTTCTGTAGTCTTTTTCATCAATATTTTTGTTTTTTCTTTGTTTATTCTTAGACCTGCCACCTTGCCATATTCCTCTATTTGTTCTAATAATTTTGGTCCCGTCTTTTGAGGCTCCTCATGAATAAATACTAAATCTCTGCAAAGGTTTGTAGTTTGTATTCCTCTTTTTTGGTTTTCATCCCTTTTATTTCTTCATTTCTTCTTATATTTCTATTTAGCACTTCTAAAGTCAATACAAATAGCAATGGGGATAATGGGCATCCTTGTCTTGTTCCTTTTGTTATATTAACTTTTTCTGTCATTTTTCCATTCATCATTATCTTGGCTAATTCTTCATTATATATTGTTTTTATAATGTTCATAAATCTTTCCCCAAAGTCCATTATCTGTAATTGCTTTATCATAAACTGCCAGTTCACATTGTCAAAAGCTTTCTGTCCATCTAGGAATATCATCACCATTTGTTTTTCTGAATGTATCTCATAATACTCCAAAGTGTTCAAAATTATCCTCATATTGTCTCTAATTTGCCTTTTAGGTAAAATCCCATTTTGGTCCATATGAATAAATTCATTTAATAGTTTCTTCAATCTGTTCACCATTATTGAAGCAAATATGCATTGCAAACTTTCGAAGATGTCGTTGCAGTTCGCCTTCTGACCATGGGGGTGCGTTGCAAACCTTAGGAGATGTCATTGCAGTACACCTTTTGGCCACTAGAGTGTGTTGCTTGCATAGCTGTGTGGTTGGCGCAGTACACCTTTTGGCCACCAGGGTGCTGTAACCTAACTAATGCTTGGGTTAAACTGGTTTTAGCGTGTTCCTTTGTACAGAGCTGCATAGCAACTGTCCGATTTGGGGACCGTAAGAGGCTTTCCTCAAACTTGGGTTCCTTTGGACTTTAATTGCTTGCCCTATAAACGGGATTTAGCTTTCCAGTATTTTCTTCAAGCAAGAGTCAAAGTAACAGCATGCACTGCAGCTGGATTGTTACTCTGCATCAGATCTTTCCCTTACCAAATGCCTTTGCAGCTTGCTCTTCAAATGCAGATTGAGCTGGTTAGGCTGGGAGAAGCAGAGTGTATCATGCAAATTCTATCTCCAGGGAGACCATGTGGCTCAGCTTGCTTTCTGCTAAAATAAGTTTTTTTTTTCCTTTTACTGCCAAGGTAAGCTTTTAAAGCAACATACACACAAAAACTTTGCAAAGGTGATTCTAACATGCATCCCTGGACCCTTTTATAGCAGGGCAATCTTCTTAGTTAACACAAGAAAGGTCTTTCCTCTTTGTTCCAAAAAGAGAAGGGGGGGCTATCCATTCTCTGTCCTTTTACTGCCAGGCAGAATACTTTTCTCAGTTAAATCCAAACGGAGTTTGGGATGCAAAGAGAAGGAAAGCAGGTTTTATCACTTCCGTGGCTATGCAAAGGTCTCAATTGGGTGCAAACAAAGTCTTTTTTTTTTAAAGTTGTGCGTAGAGAAGAGATGCACTTTTATTTTTTCTTCACTCAAACAGAATGTCCCTCATTGCTCCAAGAGAAAGAAAAGGAGGGGGTCAGGCAGTCTATGTCATGTTACTGTTCTGTTCCCAAAGCATCTGGCTCCACTGGGAACAGGCAGTTAAACTCTAGCAAACAGGTTTCAAACAGATCAAGTTTATTTTGTGTATCCTCAAAACATAGACTTACAATCATGGTGAGTCAAGGTGAAATTCATCTGTATATTTCATAATCTGTCCCATTTCCTAGTGTAAAATGACGGTAGATCTGTCTCCCTGTTCAGAAATCATGCTTCTCTCCTCCGCAATTCATAATGGCTGGAGCTTTGTTCTACACCCCAGGCAGAGAGCCTCAGTGGCCAATCAGGCACACAGATGTGGTCACATGTCATGGACTACATCTCCCACAATGCAATCTCTCTACATCTCCCACAATGCAATCTCTTAAGGAGACAGCTCTTAATTCTTAGGGTAACTAATTCACTATAATTCACTATCTGAACAGCACACGTGCCCTTTGGTGTAAACTGTAATATCCTTTCAGATGGAAAAAGCCACAATTATTAGGACTTTCTTGGTAGTCTCTTGATGGGAAAAAGAAGAAGAAAAAGACTGGTCCTTCAAATAATATTTCTGTATTTTTTAAAATCAGGTTAACGTTGATGTCTTGAAGTATACAGTCACTGAATCCATTTTTGAAATTAAGATGTTGGTCTTATTTTTTTTTTTTAAAAAAAAATTGTAACCATCAGTATCCACCAAGCTCTGCTTTCATTATTTAAATAATTGTATGACAACCTCACATTTCAAAGAGCTAGTTCACTGTTTAATTTAAACATATTGACAGCAGCACGAATAGTTTTTGCCCAAAACTGGAAAAACAATGACATACCATCAGAAGCCAAGGTGATTAGAAAAATTATGGAATATGCGGAAATGGATAAGTTCACAAAAGAGATATAAGAAAAAGATGAAACAGATTATGACTTAGTTTGGGAGAAATGGTATAAATGGTTGGAGGAGAAAGGGGAAAAAGAAAAAAAAGGGGACAAAAGAAAACTAAACAATGGTTAAATTAGGTGGAGAAATATGGAAACAAATGGAAAGATATAAATTATGGAAAGGAAACTAGGTACCTGTTTATGTTAAATGTAAATAAAATATTTAGATTAAGAGTATATATATATATATATATATATATTATATATATATGATATACTAGGTATATATATATATAAGAGATAAATTAAGATAAGAAAGAGAAAATGTATAAATATAGATTACTGATGCGAAGATGTTGAAAAGAAGATGTAAATATCTATTTTTGTTTGTTTGCTTGTTTGTTTGTATTAAAAAAAATGTTCAATAAAAATTATTTTAAAAAAGAGAAAAATGGCAATTTAGGGAAAAACATTTAATCATAGTCCTCAACTTACAACCACAACCAGCATCGGAACTTCCATTGCTAAGTAAGACAGTTGTTAAGTGAGTCATGCCTGATTTTAGCACTTAGACTTATATACCACTTCACAGTGCTTTAACAGCCCTCTCTAAGTGGTTTACAGAGTCAGCATATTGCCCCCAACAATCTGGGTCCCCATTTTACTGATCTTGGAAGGATGGAAGGCTGAGTCAACCTTGGGAGGATCAGGATCAAATTGCTGGCAGTTGGCAGAATTAACCTGCAATACTGCATTCTAGCCACTGTGCAATCACAGATTTTTCCATCTCTTTTCCCATGGTTGTTAAGTGAATCACTGCACTTAAATGAATCATGCAGTTATTAAGTGACTCCAGCTTCACCCATTGACTTGTGCTTGTTGGAAGCTGACTGGGAAGCTAACAGTGATCAAATGACCCAGAACGCTGCAACCATAGTGAACATATGCCTGGATTTTTATCATGTGACCATGGGGATGCTGTTATGGTCGTAAGTGTGAGGACCAGTCAGAAGTCACAAGTGCTGCTGTAACTTTGAATTGTCACTAAATGAAAGGTTGTAACTTCAGGACTATCTGTGGATCTTTTAAGTATTCTCTTGTCATCATCCTGCACAATGTTATTTGCAACAAAACAATTCTCGTATCTAGTCTTAGCAGTCTGGAAATGCTCAGCCATACACTAGAGCTGGTATGTACAAATATTCAGCTTGACTAGATGTTTTCAATGTGTGGTGAGAGTACGGTTTAGAAGGGCAGGGATTTTTTTTCTACATAGTTTGAACATTTTTATTACTTTCTTTCCATGGTGTTAGTTTTAAGAATTCCGACTTATGATCATAATGGAGCCTGCATATCTGACCCAATTTTACAACCTTTTTTTGCAGTCGTTGTTAAGCAAACCAATGATTTGCTGTGGGTGCAGTTTTGTTGAAAACCAGAAGTAAGTGCCAATTGTCAACAAAACCATTGTAAAACACAATTATGCCAAGTGCCCAAAGTTTGGTCACATGACCGGAGAGGGGATGACCATTGGAACCTCAAATCCAAGTTTTAACTAGCCCCGAGGTAGGAACTTTGAATGGTCACCATATAACTGTCAAGGACTATTGAAACGGATCCAGTGCTAGATGCCCAGATATCTTTTCCTGCAATCCAAATCTTTCTCCAATTTTTCTGCCTTGTGTTTCTTTTTAGTTGTATAAATTGAGATTAGTATGTTACTTGTCAATAACTGATGTTTTCCATAGTTTTATTTTCTGTCTGGCCATGGAGCAATGCCCTTTCAAGATCCATAATTTCAGATGGATGATAAGCAAGATGTGGAAAGATTATGATTTTTGCTGCTCATTATAATTTTTGGAAGTGTGAAAACATTTCTCTGTCATAATAATACTAATTGTTGATAAGAAAGACAAAAAAGTCTGAATGGTGGATGTGGCAGTACCTGGAAAGAGCAGAATGAAAGAGAAAAAAAACTATTGGAGATAACAAAATACAAAGATTTGCAAATAGAAATACAATGGCAGTGGCAAAAGAAAACAAAGAAAGTATCAATAGTAATATGCGCCTTGGATACAATCCCCAAACAACTGGAGCACCACTTGGACACCATCAGCATTGACAAGTTCACCATCAGTCAATTGCAAAAAGCAGCTTTATTTGGAAGAACTTAAAGCATCCTGTGATGATGATACCTTTGGTTTAATCAAACATTCACATCTGTCTATCCCAGGTCCTTGGGAAGGACTCAATAGGTGGACAAAAATTCCAAAGGCTGAATATCTGGCTGACTGTGTGACAAACAATAATTCATTAAACGAGTATGCTGCATGACTCAGTGATTTTACAATGAAATAAAGTACAATAAAATAAAAAAGTAAAGATAAAAAATGGCAAGCATGATGAAATAAGGGGTCTCACTCTCCCACACCAAAGGCCGGAGTGAAAAGGCAGGTCTTCTCGGCTCTTCTAAACTACAAAGGTGGGAGGGGGCTCGCACAAAGTTTAGTTCAAGTAAAAACTTTGCATAGTGTGCAGGTATTATATTATTTTCATGAAAACATCTTTCCACTCAATCTTTCCCGAGCTGCATGGATTTAGAAATATAGTAATTTCACTTTTTTTTCATTGAGTATGCTCAGGAAGTCTTAGAATCTGGGAAACCAGCATTAAACAATGTTGCTTTTCAGTAAAATAAAGCACGTTTTATTCTATTTTCAAGTATTGGTCTGCAACTTGGATTTCTAGTTCAGTTCTGAAGTAGAACAAAATTTGCAGCAGGAACTTTGAAAGAAGATTTAGGATAAGAAGATACTGTAGTTCAGTGATCAAACGTGTTCTGCTTGCAAGTCATTCTCAGTTCAAATAGAAAATACAACCCTCTTAGAAACTTAATATTTATATTTTACTACTTAAGTGTCTTTTTAAAAACATTATACCATAATTTGGTTACTTAGTCTTAGGGGAGAGCTTTGGAAACTAAATATTAACACTTCTTTATGATCTCTGAAAATTGATCCACAGTGATTAACATTTGTCATGGTCCTGCTTGAGTATCATCTTGATCCTGCCCAGGGCCAATGAGCATCTAAGGTGTCACAATGTCTTCTGTTGGCCCCTGTCAAAGAGAAAGCTCAGGAAGTACATTATGAGGTGCTGGAACCTGATTGGCTATCCTTCCTACATCAGAACTTGCAACTCTTAGTACACCAGCAGACTATCCGTGGGATGAAGAGCACTGGAGCTCCAGACACTAAATGAAACCAAAGCTCAAAGCCACAGTGGCTTTGTCAGGTGGAAAAAACTGAAATAACTTGGAGACATTGGGGCAATGGCTGCTGCTCGCAGACCAAGGCGCAGGACTCAGTTTCCAAGGAGAAAGAAGCAGACCAGAGGCAGGAAGGGAACACACCGGAAGCTGTTGCCAAAGTGCAGAAAGCAACGTAGAAAACAAGGCAAGCAGGGAACAATGGTGGTGAGAAAGCTAGGTGGGCCTCAAAAGCCAGGTCTGAAGCGACCTTATGATGAGTTTATTTCTAAAGTCCTGCGTCGGCTGCATCGGGACAAAATACCCATATCAACCAAAGCAAAGGGAAAGATGATTTCCTTCATAAGGAAGTTCTACAACAACGTGTCTGAGAAGGCCAAGTGTAACAAGAAAGTCAAGCAGAGCTGTACCATCGGCTCCAAGGAATTACAAAATGCATTAAAGAAAGTGATGCGCAAAAAGCATGCCATGGATTTGGTCCAAACTATACGCAAAGAGCCACGACGCTATTAGAACTGCCCCTTCCCGTTTCCTTTGGTTGGCCCTTGTGACATCTACAAACAAGAGGAGGGGAGAGTGAGCCAGCCTTCAAAACAACGCCCCCGCCTCCAAAATCTAGTTTCCACCTGATGAAAAGTCCTGACAATACTCTAAAGATACTGAGAATCTCTTCCTTTTTGAGGAACATCTCACGTAAGCACAGGAGCCAACAACCTTCAGACCTGCAGAAAACTCCTCACATCACTGGAAAAAAAAAAATCTTTGGCAAAGAAACATCTTATTCTTAGGAGTATAATAAAATGGGGTTTTATCAGGTCATTTAATGCTCATGTGGTTTTCTTTCCTTTTACATAATGTCGGCTGCAGTGTGACTTGAACCCAAACCCTCTTGCACACTGAACATTAGAGGGCAAGGACAAAAAAAGTAGATGTAGCCCTTCTGAAAATTGTTATGAGACTTGGAGGTTTAGTTAAAGTCACCCCCTAGTGAGTTTGATGATGATTACCCAAATGGAAGATTTCATACTTGCAACATAACTTGGATATCTGGTTTGTTTAGAAACAGGAATGGGATTACTTAGGTAACTACAGTACTGCTTTGAGCCCTTCAAACCCTGTGTGAATGGAAATGATTGGTGTG